CCCAACGTGAAGCATGGAGGTGGCAGCATCATGCTGTGGGGGTGCTTTGCTGCAGGAGGGACTGGTGCACTTTTACAAAATAGATGGCATCATGAGGAAGGAAAATTATGTGGATATATTGAAGCAACATCTCAAGACATCAGTCAGGAAGTTAAAGCTTGGTCGCAAATGGGTCTTCCAAATGGACAATGACCCCAAGCACACTTCCAAAGTTGTGGCAAAATGGCTTAAGGACAACAAAGTCAAGGTATTGGAGTGGCCATCACAAAGCCCTGACCTCAATCCGATAGAACATTTGTGGGCAGAACTGAAAAAGCGTGTGCGAGCAAGGAGGCCTACAAACCTGACTCAGTGGGCCAAAATTCACCCAACTTATTGTGGGAAGCTTGTGGAAGGCTACCCAAAACGTTTGACCCAAGTTAAACAATTTAAAGGCAATGCTACCAAATACTAATTGAGTATATGTAAACTTCTGAGCCACTGGGAATGTGATGAAAGAAATAAAAGCTGAAATAAATAATTCTCTCTACTATTATTCTGACGTTTCACATTCTTAAAATAAAGTGGTGATCCTAACTGACCTAAGACAGGGAATTTTTACTAGGATTAAATGTCAGGAATTGTGAAAAACTGAGTTTAAATGTATTTGGCTAAGGTGTATGTAAACTTCAACTGTGTAATATATAGCACACACTTTTTCAGTTCTGCACACAAATATTCTATAGAATTGAGGTCAGGGCTTTGTGATGGCTACTCCAATACCTTGACTTTGTTGTCCTTAACATTTACATTTTAGTCATTTAGCAGACTCTCTTATCCAGAGCGACTTACATGAGCAATTAGGGTTAAGTGCCTTGCTTAAGGGCACATCGACAGACTTTTCACCTAGTCGGCTCAGGGATTAGAACCAGCGACCTTTCGGTTACTGGCACAACGCTCTTACCCACTAAGCTACCTGCCGCCCATTTTGCCACAACAATGGAAGTATGCTTGGGGTCATTGGTCACAAATGGTCTTCCAAATGGACAATCTTTAACTTCCTGACTGATGTCTTGAGATGTTGCTTCAATATATCCACATAATTTTCCTTCCTCATGATGCCATCTATTTTGTAAAAGTGCACCAGTCCCTCCTGCAGCAAAGCACCCCCACAGCATGATGCTGCCACCCCCACGGTTGGGATGGTGTTCTTCGGCTTGCAAGCCATCCGCTTTTTCCTCCAAACATAACAATGGTCATTATGGCCAAACAGCTCTATTTTTGTTTAATCAGACCAGAGGACATTTCTCCAAAAAGTACAATCTTTGTCCCCATGTGCAGTTGCAAACCATACTCTGGCTTTTTTATGGTGGGTTTGGAGCAGTGGCTTCTTCCTTGCTGAGCGGCCTTTCAGGTTATGTCGATATAGGACTCGTTTTACTGTGGATGTAGCTACTTTTGTACCTGTTTCCTCCAGCATCTTCACAAGGTCCTTTGCTGTTGTTCTGGGATTGATTTGCACTTTTCGCACCAAAGTACGTTCATCTCTAGGAGACAGAACGCGTCTCCTTCCTGAGCGGTATGACGGCTGCGTGGTCCCATGGTGTTTATATTTACGTACTATTGTTTGTACAGATGAACGTGGTACCTTCAGGTGTTTGGAAATTGCTCCCAAGGATGAACCAGACTTGTGGAGGTCTACACATTTTTTGCTGAGGTCTTGTCTGATTTCATTTTGATTTTCCCATGATGTCAAGCAAAGAGGCACGGAGTTTGAAGGTAGGCCTTGAAATACATCCACAGGTACACCTCCAATTGACTCAAATGATGTCAATTAGCCTTTCAGAAGCTTCTAAAGCCATGACATCATTTTCTGGAATTTTCCAAGCTGTTTAAAGGCACAGTCAACTTAGTGTATGTAAACTTCTGACCCACTGGAATTGTGATACAGTGAATTATAAGTGAAATAATCTGTCTGTAAACAATTGTTGGAAAAATTACTTGTGTCATGCACAAAGTAGATGTCCTAACCGACTTGCCAAAACTATAGTTTGTTAACAAGAAATTTGTGGAGTGGTTGAAACTAGTTTTAATGACTCCAACCTAAGTGTATATAAACTTCCGACTTCTTCAACTGTATATACACACTACCAGTCAAAAGTTTGGACACAACTACTCATTTCAAGGTTTTTCTTTATTTTTACTATTTTCTACATTGTAGAATAATAGTGAAGACATCCAAACTATGAAATAACACATGGAATCATGTAGTAACCAAAATAGTGGTAAACAAATCAAAATATATTTTATATTTGAGATTCTTCAAATAGCCACCCCTTGCCATGATGACAGCTTTGCACACTCTTGCCCCTACTTTTTTTTTTTTAAAGGTACAGTATCTCTGACCAACAGATGCATATCTGTATTCCCAGTCATGTGAAATCCATAGATTAGGGCCTAAAGAATTTATTTCAATTGACTGATTTCCTTATATGAACCATAACTCTGTAAAATCACTGAAATTGTTGCATGTTGTGTTTATTTTTGTTCAGTGTATTTCCACACTGAGGTTGGAATAATATTGTGAAAATGATAATGCCCTTTTAGTGTAAGAAGTGTTTGAAAGACCGCCTGAAATTTCAGCCTGTTTTGGTGGGATGGAATTTTGGCCTGCCTGCTAAATTAGATAATAGACCAATAAGAAAAAGTATTTCTAAACCTGTCAATAACAGCTAGTTTTCAGTTTTCCCTTCCCCACTCAGACCACTCCCAGACAGTCCTAGCAAAATTCTTGCTTGAGAAATTGCTCTTTGCTAAGAAGTTTGTTTTAAATTAAACTGTTCAAACTATCACAGTAAGGTACTTAATTGTTACCAGAAATTATTTTGATATTGAGATTTTAAACACCTGCATTGGACTAGGGCCCTAGAAAATCTGCATTGCAGCGAAAGCAGATGAAATCATGGAATTCAGATATTAAAACGGAATTCAACTATATTAAATGTATTGAACTTATTTGTGAGTGACATGGCTCTCCGTCTGGCATACTGTATGCATTCCAGAGGGACATTGCATAATCAAGTGAAAGCCGTTTTGATCAAAATACAACAATACTGCAAGTGGTGATTGGTGAGAGACAGGGTTGCAATGAAACCGACTGCTTATGTAAAGCCATAAAGACAACCAAAACATGACATAAAACAACTCGCAAACAGACTGGCTACCGATTTTAGAAACCACTAATAGTATAGAAGGTACTCAGTTAAGGGATATTATTTTTGTCCACTGCATTTGGATTATCCCACTCACAGACAGTCTAGATATTTTGTTTAGAACCAAAATCCGCATTCATCCATGTTAATTTTGCATCCATTTTGAAGCATCTTTTATCCTTTTCTCTTATCTGAGCATGTGGCACTCACACTTGTGGTAGGCATTCAGATGTGGGTATTTAGTATTTTATAATGATCCCCATTAGCTGCTGCCAAGGCAGCCGCTACTCTTCCTGGGGTCCAAACAGATGATCTTTTTTTATATTGAGGTTGGTTTGAGTACTTTGCTGGCTTCTGATATTCATTCATCTCATTGTTATTTTTTGAAACATGCAGAATAGGTGCTGTGACTAAAATGCTAACTAGTATAAATAAATGTAGCAACCCAAACACCCATCACCACGAGACTTTGCATCACAATGCTCTGGTCAAATTGCATCACTTTGCAGCTGAGGAGATTAGCTGTTTTGATTTCAGGGAAATGTTATTTGATGTAAAACATATTCTTATTCTCAGTCCCCCTGTTGTGGTGTCACTGCTTTTCAAATGTCCATAAAGGCTTATCTTAAACCACTTTAATGTTGAATTCAGTGATTACATCATGTAGAACACATATTGTGATATTTGGGACAGCATGGTGGAGGGTTGTGTGTGTGTGTGTGTGTGTGTGTGTGTATGTGTGTGTGTGTGGTAATGTGCCGTGACACGGGTCCAGCTGGTGAGATTTACAGTCACAGGATTAATGCTTTTGTTCTGCTGACATCCACGCTTGGCAAGAGAAGTGAGACACTTGTGCGCATGTGCCACTGATTACATGGATTAATACTAGAAATGTATTTGAGATTACTATAAAGTATTTGATTCTATGGGACCATGCCTTATTTATGAAGATGTTGTTCTGGGAGATAGTGAGGGTTTTAGATTAGAATTCTAGTCATTAGTCCGCACAGTGGAAGCATCCTACATGCTCTTTGTCCCCTATGCCCTTTAGGCTGTGCCTGCTGCCTGGATGATGCACAATGCATTGTCATTAAGTATTTCATTCTGTAGTGTTTTTGTTACCTAACTCGGTATAAATAGAGGCTGTAATTTATGGGCTTGCTGCTGGTTTGGGGCCCTTCGAGTGCTCAGGGATTTATGTGCCCTGCTCTTAGGCAGTGAAATCTCCTGCTCTCATGGCCCTGCCATCCAGAGAGCAGTAATCCAGATGTGCAAACTGCTGGAATATAATTCCTGTCCAGAGGTTTGTATTGGCTGGCAGCTCCCCAGCTGCATTTATTTATTTCCCTCACAGGACATGGCTGCATGCTGTCAGTGGGTGACAGGGGATATGAATGAAGAAGTGAATGGTGTGCTAGATGGAGTTTTCATTAGTGTAATGTTTAGAGATCTCCAGAATTATGTAAGAGTGACGCGCTGTCATCTATCCCCTCTGGGCCTGCCCACTGCCCATAGCATGGCTGTTGTCCATTTTCGTTTCTCTGAGGGGAAAAAACATTTCAGAGCCGACGGTAGGGGACACAGGGCTCGTGATCGCGAACGTAGTAGCAAGTGGGCAGGGCTCAGTGGGTTCAGTATAGTGTGTGTGTGTGTGATGGCAGTGAGCACAGTGGTGGCAGACAGGGTTGGAAGTCAGGGCTGCCTTTTTAGAATATTGCGGAGGGAAGTGAGATGTTAGTGGAGCCGTTGTGAGTAGCATGGAGTGAATATAATGCAGTTGTAAGTGGAGAAACAGCTGAGGGCTCAAATATGAAGTTTAAGAAGTTCATTACCATCATGCAGGCGGCCATGGGGATCGTCCCCCTCAACAAACGAGAGCTCCTACCACCTGGGAGGAAACTATGGAGACCCCCAGGGTGAGTTAAACAGAGGTGTGCATATGAGCTTGTATGCATGAAATGAATGTTTGTCAACTGTCTGTATGTAGCGTTTGGTGTATTCAAGTACAAGCATCTACTGTACCTCTACAATATTTTAATCCTTTGCACAAGTATTCAAAATGCGTGTCAACATTTTGCAAATGTCGCTAAGCGAATCACAACCATGATTTGTAATGTATATTTCTGCTTTGCTCACCAGATGGTACTAGCCTACATGCTACAGCATGAGCATGTCTGTTGTCATTAGTTACTGCTCAGGTCATAGATGCTGCACTTTGATTGTGACTCTGCTATAGGAGCACAGCAGATGAATGAATGTAGCAGAGATCCTTCCTGTGAGTAGCATGGCTCTCCTTAGCTGGACCAGTCCGGCACACAGTCACTCACTGGATCCATTATCAGATCCACTATGGAACCATTCTTTAGTCCATGGACACTACTGTAAATATGGTTGCAAATATAATTTACTAAGTTGTCAAGGAAGGTTTTTGTGTTTGCGTGTTTATACAGTGGGGGAAAAAAGTATTTAGTCAGCCACCAATTGTGCAAGTTCTCCCACTTAAAAAGATGAGGGAGGCCTGTAATTTTCATCATAGGTACACGTCAACTATGACAGACAAAATTAGATTTTTTTTTCTCCAGAAAATCACATTGTAGGATTTTTAATGAATTTATTTGCAAATGATGGTGGAAAATAAGTATTTGGTCAATAACAAACAAGCAAGATTTCTGGCTCTCACAGACCTGTAACTTCTTCTTTAAGAGGCTCCTCTGTCCTCCACTCGTTACCTGTATTAATGGCACCTGTTTGAACTTGTTATCAGTATAAAAGACACCTGTCCACAACCTCAAACAGTCACACTCCAAACTCCACTATGGCCAAGACCAAAGAGCTGTCAAAGGACACCAGAAACAAAATTGTAGACCTGCACCAGGCTGGGAAGACTGAATCTGCAATAGGTAAGCAGCTTGGTTTGAAGAAATCAACTGTGGGAGCAATTATTAGGAAATGGAAGACATACAAGACCACTGATAATCTCCCTCGATCTGGGGCTCCACGCAAGATCTCACCCCGTGGGGTCAAAATGATCACAAGAACGGTGAGCAAAAATCCCAGAACCACACGGGGGGACCTAGTGAATGACCTGCAGAGAGCTGGGACCAAAGTAACAAAGCCTACCATCAGTAACACACTACGCCGCCAGGGACTCAAATCCTGCAGTGCCAGACGTGTCCCCCTGCTTAAGCCAGTACATGTCCAGGCCCGTCTGAAGTTTGCTAGAGTGCATTTGGATGATCCAGAAGAGGATTGGGAGAATGTCATATTGTCAGATGAAACCAAAATATAACTTTTTGGTAAAAACTCAACTCGTTGTGTTTGGAGGACAAAGAATGCTGAGTTGCATCCAAAGAACACCATACCTACTGTGAAGCATGGGGGTGGAAACATCATGCTTTGGGGCTGTTTTTCTGCAAAGGGACCAGGACGACTGATCCGTGTAAAGGAAAGAATGAATGGGGCCATGTATCGTGAGATTTTGAGTGAAAACCTCCTTCCATCAGCAAGGGCATTGAAGATGAAATGTGGCTGGGTCTTTCAGCATGACAATGATCCCAAACACACCGCCCGGGCAACGAAGGAGTGGCTTCGTAAGAAGCATTTCAAGGTCCTGGAGTGGCCTAGCCAGTCTCCAGATCTCAACCCCATAGAAAATCTTTGGAGGGAGTTGAAAGTCTGTGTTGCCCAGCGACAGCCCCAAAACATCACTGCTCTAGAGGAGCTCTGCATGGAGGAATGGGCCAAAATACCAGCAACAGTGTGAAAACCTTGTGAAGACTTACAGAAAACGTTTGACCTGTGTCATTGCCAACAAATGGTATATAACAAAGTATTGAGAAACTTTTGTTATTGACCAAATACTTATTTTCCACCATAATTTGCAAATAAATTCATTAAAAATCCTACAATGTGATTTTCTGGAGAAAAAAAATCTCAATTTGTCTGTCATAGTTGACGTGTACCTATGATGAAAATTACAGGCCTCTCTCATCTTTTTAAGTGGGAGAACTTGCACAATTGGTGGCTGACTAAATACTTTTTTCCCCCACTGTATTTGTGACCGCTCACCCACTGAGAGGTTTGTGTTGTGGATGAATTATTCAGTATACACAGCATTGCTCTTAGTCATTCTCCCAAGGTACATGAATTCCAGTTTGGACATGAACGTATTCTCAGTTTGGAGATTTTCTAATCGTGTGGGTCTTATGCTGACAGAAGCTTGTCTATCGCTTCCCTGCACAGCTAAACATGGCTAGGGTATGGGATTGGGGAGTTCGTTGGAAAGGTAAAGTCAAACAACACAAGCTGAGCATTTGGTCAAAGATCACAGCAAGGTCAATCACTTATTTATTTATTTATTTATTTATTCCTGTTCTGACATGAGGTCAAATGGCTGCAGAGCAAATGTTTGGCTTAAGTGCAACAGATTACAGCTGCATTGAGGCCTTAAGTGTGTGTGTGTGTGTGTGTGTGTGTGTTCGCGCACACCTGTCCCTTTTGCGTGTGTTTGTGTTTGTTTGTGTGTATGGTTGTGACCAGGGCCAGGCATTGTTTACTATGCAGTGGACCGTTAAGGATTGGCGTTTGAACCAAAACCTCTCACCGTTTACTGTTTCACTTCAATGGCCCTCAGCATTTTAATTCTCTAATGTGGAATTAAATTAATTTCAGACTGTTTCTACTCTTTTCAGCTGAGATACAGTTTACATAGGTTACCAATTACAATCCCTTATACAAAGTTGAACTCTATTCCTAATGTTGAGTAATGGTTAACTAAAGCCCTGCTGTCTCTCCCAACAGGGACACACCCAGTACTGACCAGTCCAACACTGATCTGTTCAGGTCCAGCTGCTCCTGGGATCGGTTTTACTGGACCAAAGAAGCCCAGTACCTGTGTCTCCGTCGACTCTCTACACCCAGCTACTCTGCTATTCTGAGGGTACCTCATCATTTCTGCCTACTTTGTACATGTATTCTTTACTCATCCTATTCTGCCCGAAGACAGTGTGTGTGGTTGTACATGTGATTTATACGGTGCCATGTTGTGGTCTACTCTGAAAACAGGAAATCCAGAATGGTTTTGGCTATGGTTTAAAAATCAGTTGGAAAATCTCTGCTGGATATCTATTGCCTTGGATTGTCCTTCAGTTGTTCATGTTCCCCATTCACAAAGTGTATGTATCCAAGGCCTTTGTCCCATAGCCCTATTTGGAAGTTGCTGATTCACTCCCCTCCCCCAATGCATATTTAACCAGGAAGATAGGACTCCTCCATAGAAGCAGTTTAAAGAGAACTCGGAGGAAGAGATTCAGGCCAACCATCACAACAGGTATTGTTGTGTTACACTGAACAAAAATATAAACGCAACATGTAAAGTGTTGGTCCCATGTTTCATGAGCTGAAAAAACGATCTCAGAAACGATCGCCACAAGTCTGGCATTGCAAGCGCCATGCTCTACCAACTGAGCCACACGGGACCTGTGTAATGATCATGTGGTTTAATCATCTTCTTGATATGCCACACCTGTCAGGTGGATGGATTATCTTGGCAAAGGAGAAATGCTCACTAACAGGGATGTAAACCAATTTGAGAGAGATACGCTTTTTTGTGCGTATGGAAAATGTCAGATTTTTTGGGGGGTCATGGGACCAACCCTTTACATGTTGTGTTTATATTTTTGTTCAGTGTACTTTGATGCAATGATATGGGGCTACACTTGATGGCTACATAACTTGACAGCTCTGAATCTGATACTGGACTGACACACACACACACACTGTGACTTGGTAATGGTATCTCACAATTATACTGTTTTATTTGAATGGATATTTTTATTAACATTAACCTCTTAAGGATCGGACCCTTTTTTTCCAATGACATACCCAAATCTAACTGCCTGTAGCTCAGGACCTGAAGCAAAGATATGCATATTCTTGATACCATTTGAAAGGAAACAACACTTTGAAGTTTGTGTAAATGTGAAATTAATGTAGGAGAATATAACACATTAGATCTGGTAAAAGATAACGCAAACAAAAAAACATGTTCAATCATCTTTTAAATGCAAGAGAAAGGCTACAATATAATATTGCAGTTTAGGCGCAATTTAGATTTTGGCCACTAGATGGCAGCAGTGTGTGTGCAAAGTTTCAGATTGATCCAGTGAAGCATTGCAATACTGGACTATTTTGTATCAAGTCTGCCCAAATGTGCCGAATTGGTCAATTGATACATTTTCAAGTACATAACTATAGAGAACATACAAAAATGATATGCTAATACAAAATGTAAGTTTACACACTCCCAGGAATGTCATATATGATGGACCATTAGCTTATACACTAACTTTCACACATCTAGATGGCCGGGCGGGGTGTGTGTGGAGCCAGAGACGGCAAGGGTTCAAACTGTTGAACCCAGTTCCTACGTTTGAATATAAAAATTGATTTTATCAAACAAAACTATGCTACATTTTATCTCTGGGACCCTCAGGATGACAAATCAGAGCAAGATTACTGAATGTAAGTACATTATTTACCTTCAGAGGTGAATGTATCAAACCAGTTGCCGTGATCAGTTTTTTTGTTGTTGTGCACTCTCCTCAAACAATCTCATGGCATTTTTTTTATTGTAGTCCATGCTTCCGTTGTGAGATGGGAAATACACCTGTCCTTTTTACAATGTCTGAACTGTACTACTTCCAATCATACTGTCCATTTTGGAACTGACTGGCCCTCCTGCCTCTGTTAATCTTGGGACACCATGAACAAAAATAATTCAAGTAATCAAAAGAAAATACCATTTTTAAATATGCACTATGCAGAAATCGCTCGGCCAATTCCTGGTTGCTAAAATTAGAATAGTTAGCCTAATTTCAGTTTGTGACAAAACAAGCAAGTATAGTGTAGAGAATCATTGTACCATCTAAACCGCTGTGAAATGTATTTTCCATAACCAAAAATATTGTATTTTCAGCTGTTTGAAGCTGGTGTACAAAACCGAAAGTAAAAGAAGCAAAAACGACATTTAAGAATGGGAAACATAGAAATTGCGCACATAGAAGAGCTCTACTGCTTCTGAGACTTGCTTTCAATGAGAATGGCATATCTATAACACAATTTTCTATGTGAATTTGGTTGGGCCTCCCAAAAAGTTAGATATTGCAGCGTTAAGTAATCTGGAAGGATCCATTTTGGCAAAAAATTGACAGCATTCCAAGCAATAATGAATGCATGTTATATTTTGATGTAAAAATACAATTTGCATTTTATATCAGTTATTTGGTTGTTTGTTGTGTCATTGGACTGCAATTGTTAAACTTATTTTCGAGATGAAAATATTGAGACCACTTAGACTACCCCATCTTGAATTGGTCATTTACATCCTAATACTGTCGTCCCTTTCGGCGCTCTCTGACTCACTCAATTTACTGGGTTGTTTTACTGATTCTTTAAAAAACATGAAAAAAATCTAAACTATGATATTGTATAGGCTGCATGTTACTTTTAAGAATAGTCGTAGCCTAATTTCCTTTGTTGGAATCACAAGAAAAGTGGTCTCCGGTTTGAAAGTGCATGATGCCCGTAAATGGAGGGACACTGTTCAGTCTTTGCAGATATGAGACACAATATTTCAAAGTAAGTAAAACTAACGATTCTAAGGTACATTATAAATTATTCATGATTGTTTAATCATCCTGTTGCAATGTTAATTTCGCTGACTTGACGCACACTAGAGCACAAATATTTTATAACGTTTTCAAGACAGTCATGGGATCCTTACTGGAATGTCTCCACCTGCGGCTGCTACATCGTATCACGGTGGAATACATTCACTCGTAGCAACCATCAAAAGGCTGTGCCTGTGAGCTGATATTCAGTATGAAGTGAAGATATTAGTTCATGGTGTTTGCCTATTGTGCAATGACTTTAAACAAAGTTATAATTCAGTAATAATTCATCCACGATTGGGGTGGAAATATTTGGGAGTCATTATCCCCTAAAAAAAATCCTACTAGTGGTTTTAATGGATTACTGTATGTAGAAGTTACCTACCCTGAGGTGATATATAGCGTAGTTCTGATCCTTTTGTAATGTTCCAGTGTATTTAATAGACAGTGCGTAGTCACTCCATGTAATGTGGCTGTACTGCAAGTAGAGGGCGTATTACTACAAGAGAATCTAGAGTGGATTAGATTGATGGCTAGGATTGGTGCCCTTTTAGATAAAACCAAGTCATTACTTCCTTCTCTGCCATAATGGGTACTATAGATTTTCATTGCTCGAGTTATAGCTGGCACGTGTGTAACTAAGGCTTTTTACCATTGTTAATATGGTTGCAGTTGTGTGTGTGTGTGTGTGTGTCGGTGTTTACGATTGAGAGTGCTGCATGCGTTTTTGTTTTGGCTGAGTGAGATTAAAGGATCTGTTCTTCTAAACCACATCCCATGATGATAGCTTAGTGTTATTTCAGCCATTTCAATGTAGGAATGGTCATTCTCAAACTCATATGAGAAACTGTGTGTGTTCTTGCGTAATACTCTCAGGAAGCCAAGACTCAGCCAGCAGCCCTGCCAGTGAACTAAATAACATCACACAGCAGAAAAAGGCAATTTGACTCACTGGGCTTGCCTGTACTTTGTTCTCATCACTTCAGATATTCGTGAACACGCTGCTACACTGCCCAACATTCCATCTCTCTGCCTGGAGGTATACACACTACAGACCACCAGACTCCGACGCTCAGGTCTACTAACTAGTATCTAGACCGATTTCCAATTTTCTTGTCACTTTTTATCATGGTGGATTTTGCAATATCCTCTCACGTGTGTGGCAATATTCTCATTCCTCACACTTAATCACAGGGTGGTTTACAATATAGTTCTACTAGTCTGTAGAACACCTGTGTGTCAATATATGCTCATTCTACGCTGAGTCATAGCAATAGTCCAGGGGTGTATTCACTAGGAACCAAACAGACAGAGGACCTGTGCTTGCCCAATAAGAAACATTCGTTTTTTTGCAGCAAATTTTTTTCTGTTGCAAAATGTTTTGCTACGGTTTGCTAGTGTGTACTGATGAATACACTCCAGTCCTCCATGACCGCTCGTTATCTGTTCTGTCCTGTGAGTCCAAACTCTTAAAAGTGGGGTATGATCTGTCCCCTCCCCTGTCAGCCAGAGTGATGCCCCCATTTCTAAAAGCCTGGGCTGGAGCACAGGGATTTGGCTCCACTTAAGTCACAAAAAAAAGTCAATCTTAAAACCTTTGTGGTTTTCAAAGCATGTGCTTAAAGCGTTTGCGTTTATGTGTATTTGGGTTAAACACTTACACACAGACATTTGCATACTCATTCGTGTATATATATGTGTGTGTGTGTGATTAGGTTGGTGCGTCAATGTGCATTATTTTGTGCTTGTGTATCTAATCATCAGCATGGCCGTGTGCGATTGTGTGTTTACACTGTCTGTGGATGGTGGGATTTGCGCTGAATGTAGGCCAGCAGAATCCAGCTTACGTCAAAGCTAGGCAGGCAGACAGAAGCAGGGTGTTGCTGGTGCTGATGGCGAAATGGAGGAGGTAGAGTCGTAGCAGGCAGAGCAGCGCATCAGTGGAGGTAGAGGAGCAGAGTAGGAACCATGAAGACTGTCGTCCACCTGCACAGGAAATGGATCCACACCTACAAGGCCATCCCCATCCACCAGGGGCTCGTGAGTGACTCCAGCTTGGCTCTAGTTAGTTAGACAGGTGGTATTTGGGTGGAAAGGTAGGCAGGTAAACAGGCAGTTGTGACAAGTGCTTCATGTTGGTCGTAGTACTTGGAGTGAGTGAAGTTGGTTAAAATGTGTGTCAGTGGTTACTTTGGTAGAGTTTAGTGTTTTCAGCTGGTGGTATGGGTACTGTGTTGAAAGGCTGAGGGTGTGTGGAATCAGTAGTCCATGTGTGATGCTGGTGATTAGTAGCCTGACGACTCACACTAAATTCTTCTGCTGCTCTGTTGTTCCCTACATATTTTAGTCTGAGACTGCCATCATTGAAGTGAGGCGTTGTACAAAAGTAATCAGTGATGGGATCGTCTCTAACCAATCAGAGTATCAAAGCCAATGACACATTTTCAAACCGCCGCGTTACCCACATGTGTTCTGGCTCTGGCCCAACCCTCGGTTTCTGGACAAATCAGACGGCCCCGAATGTGTTCACATTCGGTGAAGGGCCGTGGAGGTACTCAGATCTAGACTCATTACGGAGAAGAAACTATTCCGTGGGCGTGGCGTAGCGTTTGGCGGGAGCAAGGAGTCTGGTTAGCCAGGCAAGATGATAAGTGGGTGTGTACTGTATCATGTGCTCAGAGAGCATGTGTTGGAAACATAAGAGTTTGTTTGTTCCAGGTATAGTAGTTATCTTATGTGATCTTTTGTGTTGTTGGCTATATGAGATTTGGAACGTGATGTTTTGATGTATTCTGTTGGAATGAGAGAAACACATGGTTAATACAGTTGAAGTCGGAAGTTTACATACACTTAGGTTGGAAAAACAACTAGTTTTTTCTTGTTGGCAAACTAGTTTTGGCAAGTCTGTTAGGACATCTACTTTGTGCATGACACAAGTAATTTTTCCAACAATTGTTTACAGACAGATTACTTCACTTATAATTCACTGTATCACAATTCCAGTGGGTCAGAAGTTTACATACGCTAAGTTGACTGTGCCTTTTTAAACAGCTTGGAAAATTCCAGAAAATGATGTCATGGCTTTAGAAGCTTCTGATAGGCTAATTGACATAATTTGAGTCAATTGGAGGTGTACCTGTGGATCTATTTCAAGGCCTATCTTCAAACTCCGTGCCTCTTTGCTTGACATCATTATGTGGATAGATTGAAGCAACATCTCAAGACATCAGTCAGGAAGTTAAAGCTTGGTCGCAAATGGGTCTTCCAAATGGACAATGACCCCAAGCATTCCAAAGTTGTGGCAAAATGGCTTAAGGACAACAAAGTCAAGGTATTGGAGTGGCCATCACAAAGCCCTGACCTCAATCCTATAGAACATTTGTGGGCAGAACTGAAGAAGCGTGTGCGAGCAAGGTGGCCTACAAACCTGACTCAGTTACACCAGCTCTGTCAGGAGGAATGGGCCAAAATTCACCCAACTTATTGTGGGAAGCTTGTGGAAGGCTACCCAAAACGTTTGACCCAAGTTAAACAATTTAATGGCAATGCTACCAAATACTAATTGAGTGTATGTAAACTTCTGACCCACTGGGAATGTAATGAAAGAAATAAAAGCGGAAATAAATAATTCTCTCTACTATTATTCTGATGTTTCACATTCTTAAAATAAAGTGGTGATCCTAACTGACCTAAGACAGGGAATTTTTACTAGGATTAAATGGCAGGAATTGTGAAAAACTGAGTTTAAATAATGTATTTGGCTAAGGTGTATGTAAACTTCTGACTTCAACTGTATATCCTGTTCTTGTCCTCTTTGTGGAATGTGTCCTTCTCCCATAGAGCCCAGTCATGGAGGAAACCGTGTGGGAGCAGTACACTGTGACATTGCAGAGGGTGAGTCCAGCTTTGCAATACACACACACCACACTGGATTACTACACAATACAATATATAGCTTGTCATTACTGCGACCATAACACAATACAACACCCTTTACTCCAACCATATCACATTTCAGTGCATAACATTACTCTTCTTATAGGGTTAGAACCAAACCAGATTTGAATTATAATTGTAATCTGCAGCTACACCACCAGATTACAATGCAATACACCATGGATCCTTTTAAGCTCTGTTTCTTTCAGAACATTTGATTATACTCTCTAGAACATGTTCACCCATCTACAGCACACATTCCATGCATGCAGCACATCTGCCCAGCACAGTTAATCGTGTGGAGCTCACACTCATTGTCTCATAGCCTCACTCTATGCTCTGGCTATAAAGCTGCTTTTAACAAATATATTTTTTGACCACCACATCACTGACCCTTCCACATCCAGCTGTCATATGCACTCTCTAGACTATATATTTATCTCTTGTTCTTCCTCCCATCCTTCTAGATCTCCTTAGTCCCAGTTTCCTTCACGCGCCTTGTTCCAAATTACCCGTCCTCGCTTCCTCTTGTCTCACTTTCTCTTGTCCTCTTTCTTGAGCTCTCTAACAATCCATTTGTGTCTCTCCTCTCTCTCTCTGATATTGAAAGACAGTGGAGTGGAGCAGTGTTTATTATAATTATATTTTTTACAGGTTGTAGAGTGGGGGGGTGGGGTTTTAGAGGGCCATCAAATCTTTGCTCTAATCTCATCTGGGCAGCGCAGGGGCAGGTACACGACGGGGACACAAGGAGATCGAAGTGTACAGACACGCACACAAAAACACACACGCACACACAAAGTAAACTTACAGACGTACTCAGAAAGAATTAGATACATTCACTCACACACTAACCTGAACAGACTAGGACACAGGCACTTTCATGCACAAAAAAATTGAATCAAATCAAAACACCTATACAAACGCATCTCTAATACATGTCCTCTCCACTGCAGGACTCCAAGATGGGTTTTGGTATTGCGGTGTCCGGGGGCCGGGACAACCCCAACGAGGAAAGCGGGGAGATGTCCATAGTGGTGTCTGACGTGCTTCAGGGAGGGCCCGCCGATGGCCTGCTTTTGTACGTACATTTACATTGACATTTTAGTCATTTAGCAGACGCTCTTATCCAGAGCGACTTACAGTTAGTGAGTGCATACATGTTTTATTTTTTTTCATACTGGTCCCCCGTGGGAAACGAACCCACAACCCTGGCGTTTCAAACGCCATGCTCTACCAACTGAGCTACACAGGACTACATACCTCCTGTCAATCAATCATAATGATGCATCAAGTGTTCTGTCATTTTGAATATACAGTTTCAATATCTCACAGTGGATTTTTTTCCTCATATGTTAATTGTATCTTGTAGTGAGAATGACCGGGTGGTACAGGTGAACGCTATTCCCATGGACGGCGTGCCACACTCCTTCGCTGTACAGACCCTCAGAAAGTGTGGAAAAGTAGCCAAAATTGTGAGTAAAACATATGTTTTATTATGGTGGAAAAAGATGGATGCTTGTGATTTACATTTAGAACCCGTGTATAGGAGTTTGAGATCTGAGGGTTGGATAAGTGTCAATGATTCCTGACAGTTCAGTCAGTGCCTGATGTGGTCTTTTGGTTTTGACAGACGGTCAAAAGGCCCAGGAAAGTTCCAGTCAACCTGCTGAAACACGGCCCTTCCCCTGACGACCGTGTCTTCAGCAACAATGATTACGACTATGACCAGGACCGCCACAGTGTGTACAGTGGACGCAGCAGTCATCAAGATCGCGGCCACAGCCAGGAGAGGGCAGGTTACACAGACGCTGGCTACCAGGGACAGGGCTATGACCGTGATTACGGTCGAGATGACCGGGGCAGAAGTATTGAGAGGGACCTTGATCCAGAGAGGCAGTACAGACGAGACGGCAGCAAAGGTCGGACTCTGGACCGGGACCGTAGCCCTGAACGCCGCTACAAAAGCGACCGCACTCTTGACCGTGACCACAGCCCCGATCGGCGTTACCGTAGTGATCTCACGCTAGACCGCGATCCTAGCCCAGACCACCGCTACCGCGGTGAGTGGGCCCTTGACCGCGACTCCAGCCCTGACAGGCGTTTCCGTAGCGAACGCACTCTGGACCGCACTAACAGCCCTGACCTGCGATACAGAGCCGGTCACAGTCCTGCCCGCAGTCACGGTCGCGACCACAGCTTTGAGCGGAACCGCAAACGTGTTCCCAGTGACCGCGACCAGAAGAAGGAGCAGATGAAGAGGAATGGGAGCAGGGAGCGACTGGACCGCTCGCCCTCCCCCGCCTCCATGCCAATCCCCATGTCCCGCCCTCCTCGGGAGCAAGAGCCCCTGGAGAAACCCCTCAGTGTGCTGCTACTGAAGAACAGGCCCAACGAAGGTCAGAATAGGTCTATACTAAACATGACATTATATTGATCTCTTGCTCCTCCATTTCTGTTGACTCTTAACTACCCTCATTCCTCCAGGACTGCTTGTGTTAAATGTTTACTTAGTTTTTATGTTGACGTGTGTTTATGTGTTGTAGAGTATGGTCTGCATCTGGGTAGTCAGCTGTTCATTAAAGAGATGACCAGCACAGGTCTGGCCTGCAGGGATGGCAACCTCCAGGAGGGAGACATCATACTGAAGGTATGAAGGGCCTCACACACAGGCACACCACTGTTTTATCTCTGCCCTGGGGAAGTATTGTTTCAGTGCTGCCTCTTCAAAAATGTTATGTGTAGAGTTGGCCAAAAGCATGACAGCACTATCTTAGACAGGTGGCTACAGATGTTACCGTATGTATGTTTGCTAGAATACACTGTGAATGTGCTATGACTCTCTCTCACCCTGTGTCAGATCAATGGTACGGTGACAGAGAACCTGTCTCTGAGTGATGCAGGGAAGCTGATTGAGAAGTCTTGTGGGAAGCTGCAGCTGGTGGTGCAGAGAGACAGGAGACAGGTCCTCATCAGGATTCCTCCCCTGGCAGACAGCGACTCTGAGCTCGATGGTGAGAGACCCTCCAGTCTCAGTCTCTGTGGCAGCATCTCCTTTCCTTTTTAAGGAAAACACTTTTTATGTGGACAGATTCAGAACGGTCCCAATGCTTTTTATAAGTCTTTCATTGACCTACTGTATAATCGGCTGATTTTAACATGAACGTTTTCTGCTGTGTATTGTTGTGTCCCTGTCTGGGTTTATTGAAATGTCTGTTTAGTTTTTGTTTGATTCTCGCAAAAAGCAGTTTCCCCCTTGGGAATAATACGTAAAGAAAAATGTAAAAAACTTTACTCACCCTCCACACAATCATTGGTATAGAGATGTCACACGCCCCAGAGTTTCTGACCCACTTTGGTCCATTCAGGGACGTGGTGTGTGAGCGCTTGGCAGGGGAATATAATACCGCCTCATAATCCACCTATTGAATATGACAGAATTGTATTATTTTATATATGATCTGAAATGTAGCAAATGTGCTGTCTAAGATTGAACTGCAGCTAAGCTATTGAGTACAGGGGTGCATGTCTGTGTGTCCGCCACTGCCAAACTGTGAGGTTTGCTGTGTCTGTTTTGTCTGTTTCGCTCCACTCTACTTATAATACATTTCACACTTCTTGTGTAAAAAGTTGAGTTAGTGTTTCACTGAGGCTGTATGTATGAAACATGACTTGGGTGAGCTGTCTGAAGAGGAACTAAACTCAGCAAAAAAGAAACATCCCTTTTTCAGGACCCTGTCTTTCAAAGATAATTAGTAAAAATCCAAATAACTTCACAGATCTTCATTGTAAAGGGTTTAAACACTGTTTCCCATGCTTGTTCAATGAACCATAAACAATTAATGAACATGCACCTGTGGAACGGTCGTTAAGACACTAACAGCTTACAGACGGTAGGCAATTAAGGTCACAGTTATAAAAACTTAGGACACTAAAGAGGCCTTTCTACTGACTCTGAAAAACACCAAAAGAAAGATGCCCAGGGTCCCTGCTCATCTGCGTGAACGTGCCTTAGGCATGCTGCATGGAGGCATGAGGACTGCAGATGTGTCCAGGGCAATAAATTGCAATGTCCGTACTGTGAGACGCCTAAGACAGCGCTACAGGGAGACAGGACGGACAGCTGATCGTCCTCGCAGTGGCAGACCACGTGTAACAACACCTGCACAGGATCGGTACATCTGAACATCACACCTGCGGGACAGGTACAAACCCACTGTCGCTGGACCAGACAGGACTGGCAAAAAGTGCTCTTCACTGACGAGTCGCGGTTTTGTCACACCAGGGGTGATGGTCGGATTCGTGTTTATCGTTGAAGGAATGAGTGTTACACCGAGGTCTGTACTCTGGAGCAGGATCGATTTGGAGGTGGAGGGTCCATCATGGTCTGGGGCGGTGTGTCACAGCATCATCGGACTGAGCTCGTTGTCATTGCAGGCAATCTCAACACTGTGCGTTACAGAGAAGACATCCTCCTCCCTCATGTGGTACCCTTCCTGCAGGCTCATCCTGACATGACCCTCCAGCATGACAATGCCATACTGCTCGTTCTGTGTGTGATTTCCTGCAAGACAGGAATGTCAGTGTTCTGCCATGGCCAGCGAAGAGCCCGGATCTCAATCCCATTGAGCACAGCTGGGACCTGTTGGATCGGCGGGTGAGGGCTAGGACTATTCCCCCCAGAAATGTCCAGGAACTTGCAGGTGCCTTGGTGGAAGAGTGGGGTAACATCTCACAGCAAGAACGGGCAAATCTGGTGCAGTCCATGAGGAGGAGATGCACTGCAGTACTTAATGCAGCTGGTGGCCACACCAGATACTGACCCCCCTTTGTTCAGGGACACATTATTCCATTTCTGTTAGTCACATGTCTGTGGAACTTGTTCAGTTTGTCTGTTGTTGAATCTTATGTTCATGCAAATATTTACACATGTTAAGTTTGCTGGGAAAAAATGCAGTTGACAGTGAGAGGACGTTTCTTTTTTTTTTGCTGAGTTTAGAAGTTGGTAATATTTTGTGTTCCAGATATCTCAGAGATCGAGTCGTACCGCTCCTACTCGCCACAGGATGACCGACGGGCCCCTCACTCAGACCTGTCCTCCCACTCCTCCAATGAGAGGCTCCGAGACAAACCCAGGTAAACAGTCACCCTCTGCTCCCACCTGCAGTATGGATCACTCTTATGTACCGGTAATATTGTCACAGGCTGACAAGTTCAGATTATATTTACAGTATGAGTATTTTTACTCCATCACTATGAGAAAAGTCTACTTTGACTAGCTGTGCTGTAGTGTTTGAGAACCATAGGATTCTGTGTGTGTTAACATCAGGGAGGACCCACCAAGCAGGCTGGCTAAGATGGGCGCCATGCCGACACCGTTCGCCATGCCAGCGCGAGTGCCAGATAGAGTTATGGAAGACACGCCCCCTCTGCCAGCAGAGCGGGAGGAGCCCCACCCAGAAACGCCCCCAGGTAACTACAATGCCTTAAAACAAATGAATCCGTTGTATTTATTTTTTTTTTAATCTATCATCACATTTACCTGTTATTATATAACCAGTGCATCGGTTAACTTACACCTAGGGCTGTTGCGGTGACCTTATTACCGCCACACCGGCAGTCATGAGTCATAACCGCAGTCAAATTCCACGTGACCATTGAGTCACAGTAATCTCCTTTTATGCACTCTGGACATGCGTTGGTAGTACCCAACTTGCTAATGGCTCCCGAGTGGCGCAGCAGTCTTAAGGCACTGCATCTAAGTGCCAGAGGCGTCACTACAGACCCTGGTTCGATTCCAGGCTGTATCACAATCCGGCCGTGATTGGGAGTCCCATTGTTCTTAACTGACTTGCCTGGTTAAATAAAATAAAATAAATGACCATCCGGTTGCTAATGGTATTCAGTGCTCTATTGTCCATCTAACCACTCTGACATCAATGCAAATGCAATCGAAAATCACATCACACTTATCAAAACAGTATTATACTTTTAAAGCTCACCTCACTGTCATTGATCAATTTGAAGAAAGAAGTTCAACAATGGGTTTAACTGAGTGGAAAAAAAAATCCGTTGTGGATGTTGTTTCAAAGCCTAACAACGAAATGGACCGCACTTTCTAAGGTGATGATTCATTCAAAACACCCATATGCATATTACAGTTTATGCATACGCCTATATATGAGCCCAAGCCCGGAATAAAAACCTGAATTAAAATAATGATTGTGCTTTATACAATACATAACCTCCCACATATTAAGCAGAAGAAGAAAAAAAATATTTTAAGATGTCTTTGGGACATAAGTGGTCTAGCCTATACTCTAAAATTAAACAAATTCTAGTAATTGCCTTTGAGTGTGGACTGTATTATTATGCATACTGGATGGACTGGTTACCTTATGCTACGCTCCAAACTTTATATGAATGAGTCCGGGAAAGAACTTATAGGCCTAGGACAGTGGTCACCAACCTTTTCTGAGTCAAGATCACTTTCGCAGTCAAAAAGCAAGCCAAGATGTACCTCTCAGATTTTTTTAAAAGATGACTTAAAAAATGTAACATTAACCTAATAAAAACAGTTCTGTAGGAGAAGTTCTGTAGACATTTGTGCAGTAGGCAGGCCCAACACATTATCACAGCATATTGGCTATATGCCTGGCCTGCCAATATTGTTCTTCTCTGACTATGTTCAATTTCAAAACCCGAGCTTTGATAACAAAATAGATCAGTTGGTGTAGCACTTATTGAAATAATTTCCTAATAATTAGCTTTTTTATTTTACTGGACTGATGGTACCTGCATTTGATGGTCATGGTGCTTTCAAGACAACTGGGAACTAGGTAAAATCACGACGTCAGTAATGTTCAGGTCGGTAAGTCCAGGCTTTAGAAAGATGCCAGAGTTTCCGACTTGGAATTCCAAGTTGGATGATCGTTCGGAGATGTCCGAGTTTCCAGTCATTTTATAATAATAATAATAATATGCCATTTAGCAGACGCTTTTATCCAAAGCGACTTACAGTCATGCGTGCATACATTTATTTGTGTATGGGTGGTCCCGGGGATCGAACCCACAACCTTGGCGTTACAAGTGCCGTGCTCTACCAGCTGAGCTACAGAGGACCACATTTTGAACACAGCATTAGTCTCTGCGGAGGGAGGGAGAGAGCAGCAAAGGGTCAGCCTCTCACAGTCCTTGCTCTCTCCTTCCTTTCCTCCGTGGAGACTGACTAGAGAGAGGGGACACAGTCTTCCACCTTATGGCGAAACTCGAGTCGCTGCGTATCTGCCTCAAGCACAAATTCATGTTGTTCCTTTGACCAGAGAAAGTTAAATATTCCTTGATATTAAAATAGACATGACGAGCTGCTAATAATAATAAAAACAAAGGGCTATCGATACACTTGGCTACTCATTCATTGCAGCTGCAGCACGAGTGGGAGGGATAATGTATTTTATGTTTTGTAATAAAAACAGTGACAGTGCCAAGAAAAACATTTTAACATGAACTCAGTCATAAAAACAGCAGCTCTTTGCTGTATTCTTTTAGTCTTTCTCTGGTCATGGTTTCAAAAGTTATGAAATCTCACATAGGCTAGTATCAAACTTGTAGGCACTGTGATTTGAGCTATACGATTTGCCAGCGCAGTAGGCGCACTCGATTTAGCCACAGATCTACCGGCCCGCCGGGTAGGCAGAGTTTGTTTCAGACAAATGAAATGGTTCAAAATGGGAACATTTTGCCTACCTGGAGCGCAGGGCTTCTGAATCAAGTTAGGCCTACTATTGATGTTCCCGAATAGATTTCACTTGGTTTCCCAAATGAAGCACTGGGTAGCTGCAGGAACAGGGTTGGAGAGCCCATGGCATACAGAGTTTGGGCGTAATATCACCTGTCGCACAGCGAGAGGCTGCATGCTTCTCAAACAGAGGTTGATGCATGGAGTGAAATAACTGGAGTAGCCAACCTGCATGATTGAACGAACCGTTGGGAAAGCGGCCTCCATTGGCTATTGAGTGCATGACATGTCTTTTTTTCCCCTGCCCCTCTTCCTGCCCATTAGATAATGGGCTATTCTAAATCAAAACTAATTTTACAAGACAAGATTAAATTGAGAATAGTCTGATGGGTGAAAATATGATCACTTGATGTGAGAACAGCATGTGCAGCCTGAGGCAAGGAACAGAGTGCAAGCTTTTTTTAAATGTTCTCAAATCATCAATCGCCTATGGTCGCATCATGCAGCCCATATGTTTTGATTTCTAAGACATTCTAAGGTTTGTATCCTTCACAACTAAAGTTGCCAAAAGTTCAAATGATCACTTTTACGCTCAACACTTCACTCCGGAATGAATTATATTCTTCTTACTATAAAACCATATAATATAAAATAATCACACAGAACGTATAAGCATACCTTGTCTGAAATACATTTTCTAAAATAATGGATTTATTGTGATGGTGTATATTACATTTTTAGTTTTATAAATGTAGATGTTCCAAAGGCGCATCAGAGGCTTGTATGGGTGGAGGCCTGGCAATACTAAACATGTTTATGTTGATTAACGGTGAATTACCGTGAGACCGGCAGTCTTTTGCATGACGACAACCGGCTGACAAAATCTCATGACCGCCACAGCCCTACTTACACCTCCATCATAGCAATGATAAAAGAAGCACACAATCACTGATGTCTCACTAGGATTTCCATGTTCTTTTTACAGCACCAGTAGTCACCGTTGCCCCAAAAGTCCACGCTGCCTCAAAGGTGCCACTGAGGCCAAGCGTAGAGGACCAGGATATATACGGGTGAGTCATCTACTTTACATGCACAGTATGTGTTGGTTCCACAAACGAATCTACAGAGAATGTGTCTAGGGTGCAGACTCTGTTAACTCAACAGAGTAGTATACTCTAAAGTAGATTATAAATAGAAATTTAGAAATGTTATTAACTTGTCATTTGTCTTAAATGGATTGTGTGTTGTCCAGGCCCAACACGGGGATGGTGCGTTTTCAGAAGGGAGATAGCGTGGGACTGAGGCTGGCGGGAGGAAACGATGTGGGAATCTTCATTGCAGGCGTTCAGGAGGACAGCCCTGCAGAACAGGAGGGCCTTCGCACTGGGGACCAGATCATGAAGGTAGGGGAAGGGTTAACTCTTAGTGTGATGTCATTTTTTGATCTGTGTCACTATATGAATAATAGCATGTCTTTGTCTCATGTTTCTGTGTGTCTCCTGTGTGTTTCTAATGTGTGTCATATTTGTGAAACTCCTTATGTCTGTTCGTGAGTGCTTTACGTGATAGATCTAATGTTATGTCTTTGTCTAGGTGAATAACATGGACTTCAGGGGCATGGTGCGTGAGGACGCTGTCCTGTACTTGCTGGAGATTCCAAAGGGAGATGATGTCACCATCCTGGCTCAGAGCAAACCTGATGGTGAGTAACGCCTTCACTCTCTAGATAAAGGCAAGTCTATCATATCAGGTCACGTTGCAGGTGAAGTAATTTGAGGTTTGTGGTGTGTGTTGTCTGTTGTCTGTTCCAGTCTATAAGGACATCCTGGCATCGGGCAGGGGGGACTCTTTCTTCATCAGGACCCACTTTGAGTATGAGAAAGAGGTTCCCCAGAGCCTGCCCTTCTCCCGGGGGGAGATCTTCAAGGTGACGGACACGCTCTATGACGGCAAGCTGGGCAACTGGCTGGCCATCCGCACTGACAAAGACAACCAGCTGCTGGAGAAGGGTATCATCCCCAATAAGAGCAGGTGTGTGTGTGTGTGTGTGTGTGCGCGCTAGTATGTGTGTCCCTACATGTCAGGGATTTTGTGTGTGTGTGTGCGTGCGTGCAATGATTGGTACTAGGCGCCAATTTATGATCCCTGGTGTTCTCTGCATCTCAGGGCTGAACAAATGTCAAATGTGCAGAACGCCCAGAGAGGAACAGCCAATGACAGAGGAGACTTCTGGAGGTTGAGAGGTCAAAGGGCGGTGAAGAAGAAGGACCTCCGTAAGAGCAGAGAGGACTTGACTGCCACCTCCGTCACCACGCGCTTCCCTGCCTACGAGAGGGTGGTCTTACGAGAAGGTAGGGCGCCCAAGGCAAAAGACTCCTATCTCCTGTTGTGGTGTGGTCTAAGAGCCACTTGACTGCATAGAACAGAGTAAGATCAAAAAAGGACATATCAGAACACTAAACCTTCGATTGAACTTCCTAACTTTCAATGGAATGTTTATGAAATTATTCTTAATTTTCCCATAATGGTCTGCACTAGACGGTAACTAGAACTCCATTCCGGATGTGAGATACTAACTGTGTGTGTCTGTGTTGATCCTCAGCTGGCTTCAGGAGACCAGTGGTTGTGTTTGGGCCCATCGCAGATGCAGTCAATGAGAAACTGGGCAATGACCTGCCTGAAGAGTTTGTCATAGCCAGTGAGTATGGTGCTCCTAACTTATGCTTGTGAATGAATTTGCATCATGTATTTACTTTAGGTGTGCTTGATTTTAGCATTTTTTATTTCAATGCAAATGTCTCACCCTGCACTGACCAGGCAAGCTAAATTGAGCTCTGCCTTATTGCTTCTTCTATGAGAATGTTTGAGTATATGTGTATACAGTGCATTCAGAAAGTATTCAGACCCCTTGACTTTTTCCACATTGTTACATTACAGTATTATTCTAAAATGGATATAAAAATATATATAATCCTCAGCAATTTACACACAATACCCCATAATGGCAAAGCGAAAACAGGTTTTTAGAAATGTTTGCAAATTGTATTACAAATAAAAAACAGATACCTTATTTACATAAGTATTCAAACCCTTTGCAATGAGATTTGAAATTGAGCTCAGGTGCATCCTGTTTCCATTGATCATCCTTGAGATGTTTCTACAACTTGATTGGAGTCCACCTGTGATAAATTCAATTGATTGGACATGATTTGGAAAGGCACACACCTGTCTATATAAGGTCCCACAGTTGACAGTGCATGTCAGAGCAAAAATCAAGCCATGAGGTCGAAGGAATTGTCTGTAGAGCTCCGAGACAGGATTGTGTTGAGGCACAGATCTGGAGAAGGTTACCAAAACATTTCTGCAGCATTGAAGGTCCCCAAGAACACAGTGGCTTCCATCATTCTTAAATGGAAGATGTTTGGAACCACCAAGACTCTTCCTAGAGCTGGCCGCCCGGCCAAACTGAGCAATCGGGGGAGAAGGGCCTTGGTCAGGGAGGTGACCAAGAACCCAATGGTCACTCTGACAGAGCTCCAGACGAAAGCTACTCCTCAGTAAAAGGCACATGACAGGCCGCTTGGAGTTTGTCAAAAGGCACCTAAAGACTCTCAGACCATGAGAAACAAGATTCTCTGGTCTGATGAAACCAAGATTGAACTCTTAGGCCTGAATGCCAAGCGTCACGTCAGGAGGAAACCTGGCACCATCCCTACCGTGAAGCCTGGTGGTGGCAGCATCATGCTGTGGGGATGTTTTTCAGTGGCAGGGACTGGGGGACTAGTCAGGATGGAGGCAAAGATGAACAGAGCAAAGTACAGAGAGATCCTTGATGAAAACCTGCTCAGAACCTCAGACTGGGGCGAAGGTTCACCTTCTAACAGGACACCGACCCTAAGCTTACAGCCAAGACAACGCAGGAGTGGCTTCGGGATAAGTCTCTGAATGTCCTTGAGTGACCAAGCCAGAGCCTGGACTTGAACCCGATTGACCATCTCTGGAGAGACCTGAAAATAGCTGTGCAGCGATGCTCCCCATCCAACCTGACAGAGCTTGAGAGGATCTGCAGAGAAGAATGGGAGAAACTCCCCAAATACAGGTGTGCCAAGCTTGTAGCGTCATACCCAAGAAGACTCGAGGCTGTAATCGCTGCCAAAGGTGCTTCAACAAAGTACTGAGTAAAGGGTCTGAATACTTATGTAAATGTTATATTTCAGTTTATTTTTTTTTATAAATTAGCAAAGATTTATAAAAACCTGTTATTTTTCATTATGGGATATTGTGTGTAGATTGACTATTTAATACATTTTAGAATAAGGCTATAATGTAACAAAATGGGAAAAAGTCTGTGAATGTGTGTGTCTGTAGTTTGGTGAGAAGCTGATGCGTTTTTGTTTGCCCACACAGAGACTGAGCCCAAGGATGCAGGCAATGAGAATTCCTCCGGTGTGGTGAGACTCAATACCATTCGACAGATCATAGAACAGGTAAAGACAACCACCAGCATGTTTATCCTAATCTTAATCATCATTACCATCTTCATACCCCCCCTTATCTTCATCACCATAGTAATATTCCTCATCACCATCATCTTTTCAAGCCTCCCCCTCACATTGACCCTCTTCTTACCCGTCTCCCCAGGACCGCCATGCCCTGCTGGATGTGACTCCCAAGGCGGTGGACACCCTGAACTACACCCAGTGGTACCCCATCGTGGTGTTCCTCAACCCGGACAGCAAGGGGGGCGTGAAGACCATGAGGAACCGCTTGGTGGCCGGCTCCAACCGCAGTGCCCGCAAACTCTACGAGCAGGCGGTCAAATTGAGGAAGACCTGTTCTCACCTCTTCACTGGTCAGTCACACACACACACACACACACACACACCAGTGGCAGTCGGTGCCTTTTAAGATTAGGGAGGACCATTTTTTTAATGAGCATGGCCTTATTTCTCATACAGCATATTAGATGATTAGCATTACTATTCACCCAGCTCAATGTAACATCAATAGGTTTAGGCTACTACATGATACTATAATTTGTCCTATACCCATCATGAGGTTGCTACAACTTGGCCTACAAATGAAAGTTTATAACGTAGTTGCACATGTCGAAAGACAAATTGGAGTTATCAAGGTGACCTACAGTCTCGCATTCAATACCGCCTTGCACGCTCTTACCTGCACCTTACTGATCTAGGGTGTCATCATTAGTCCAAACAGTTGCAAAACAACAGTTTCTATTGGACAAATTCAGGTAGGTCCCTCCACGTTTCTTTTTTATTTTACCTTTATTTAACCAGTTAAGCCAGTTGAGAACAAGTTCTCATTTCTCATTTACAACTGCTTCCGTTTATAAAAAAAAAAAAATAGCAGCCACATACAGAATGATCACTTTGCTCGTTGTATAATTCCTTCTAGCATCTACGCGCTCTCCTCCTCTCACAACTTCCCTTTGCTTGTGGACTTCAGTGCACAACACAACAGGTGGCAGTGTTGGATAGCCTTAGATAGCCTTTGTCTTTCTCTTTGAGTCAACTACTCACCACATTTGATGCACTACAGTGCTAGCTAGCTTTAGCTTATGCTTTCAGTACTAGATTCATTCTCTGATCGTTTAATTGGATGGACAACATGTCAGTTCATACTGCAAGAGTTTCTTGTTTTCCTACTGTGTGTGTACACACACACACACACACACACAAACCAATGTGGACACCCCTTCAAATTATTGGATTTGGCTATTTCAGCCATACCCGTTGCTGACAGGTGTATAAAATCGAGCACACAGCCATGCAATCTCCATAAACAAACATTGGCAGTAGAGCTCAGTGACTTTCAATATGTCATCCTATGTCATAGGATGCCACCTTTCCAACAAGTCAGTTCGTAAAATGTATGCCCTGCTAGAGCTGCCCCGGTCAACTGTAAGTGCTGTTATTGTGAAGTAGAAACGTCTAGGAGCAACAATGGATCAGCTGCGAAGTGGTAGGCCACACAAGCTCACAGAACGGGACCGCCGAGTCCTGAAGCACATTGCGTTGCAACACTCACTTCCGAGTTCCAAACTGCCTCTGGAAGCAACGTCAGCACTGTTCGTCGGGAGCTTCAAGAAATGTGTTTCCATGGCTGAGCAGCTGCACACAAGCCTAAGATCACCATGCGCAATGCCAAGCGTCGGCTGGAGTGGTGTAAAGCTCGCCGCCATTGGACTCTGGAACAGTTAAATGCATTCTCTGGAGTGATGAATCACACTTCACCATCTGGCAGTCCGACGAACGAATCTGGGTTTGGCGGATGCCAGGAGAACCCTACCTGCCCGAATGCATAGTGCCAACTGTAAAGTTTGGTGGAGGAGGAATAATGGTCTGGGGCTGTTTTTCATGGTTCGGGCTAGGCCCCTTTAGTTCCAGTGACGGGAAATCTTAACGCTACAGCATACAATGACATTCTAGACGATTCTTTGCTTCCAACTTCGTGGCAACAGTTTGGTGAAGGCCCTTTCCTGTTTGAGCATGACAATGCCCCCGTGCACAAAGCGAGGTCCATACAAAAATGTTTTATCGTGATCGGTGTGGAAGAACTTGACTGGCCTGCACAGAGCCCTGACCTCAACTCCATCGAACACCTTTGGGATGAATTGGAACACCGTCTGCGAGCCAGGCCTTATCGCCCAACATCAGTGCCCGACCACACTAATGCTCTTGTGGCTGAATGGAAGCGAGTCCCCGCAGCAATGTTCCAACTTCTAGTGGAAAGCCTTCCAAGAAGAGTGGAGGCTGTTATAGCAGCAAAGGGGTTCCAACTCCATATTAATGCCAATGTTTTTGGAATTAGATATTCGACGATCAGTTGTCCACATACTTTTGATCATGTAGTGTGTATTATTGTGTGTGCGCACACCTTTAGTTTTTCTACATTTTGTGTTCCAGCCTGAATTTAAAATTAAATTTAGATTTAGTGTCACTGGCCTACACACAATACCCCATAATGTAAAAGTGGAATTATGTCTTTAGAATTTTGTACAAATTAAAAGCTGAAATGTTTTGCGTCAATAAGTATTCAACCCCTTTGTTGTGGCAAGCCTAAATAAGTGCTGGAGTAAAAATGTACTTAACTAGTCACATAAGGTTGTGTGCAATAATAGTGTTTAACATTATTTTTGAATGACTACCTCATCTCTGTACCCCAACCATACAATTATCTGTAAGGTCCCTCTGTTGAGCAGTGAATTTCAAACACAGATTCAACCACAAAGATCAGGAAGGTTTTCCAATGCCTCGCAAGGAAGGGCACCTATTGGTAGATGGGTAAAACCATTTAAAAGCAGACATTGACTATCCCTTCGAGCATGGTAAAGTTATTAGACTTTGGATGGTGTATCAATACACCAGTCACTACAAAGATACAGGCATCCTTCCTAACTCAGTTGCCAGAGAGGAAGGAAACCGCTCAGGGATTTCACCATGAGACCAATGGTGGCTTTAAAACAGTTACAGAGTTTAATGGCAGTGATAGGAGAAACCTGAGGATGGATCAACAACATTGTATTTACTCCACAATACTAACCTAAATGGCAGAGTGCAAAGAAGGAAGCCTGTACAGAATTTTTTTTTCTCCAAAACATGCATCCTGTTTGCAATAAAGCACTAAAGTAAAACTGCAAAACATTTGGCAAAGAAATAAACTTTTTTCCTGAATACAAAGAGTTATGTTTGGGGCAAATCCAACACATCACTGAGTGCCACTCTTTTCATATTTTCAAGCATGGTGGTGACTGCATCATGTTATGGGTATGCTTGTCATCGGCAAGGACTAGGGAGTTTTTTTTTAGGGTAATAAGAAACGGAATAGAGCTAAGCGCAGAGGAAAACCTTGTTCAGTCTGCTTTCCAACAAACACTGGGAGACAAATTTACCTTTCAGCAGGACCATAGTCTAAAAACACAAGGAAAAATATACAATGGAGTTGCTTACATTTACATTTTTACATTTTAGTCATTTAGCAGACGCTCTTATCCAGAGCGACTTACAGTTGGTGAATACATATTTTTTTTATACTGGCCCCCCGTGGGAATCGAACCCACAACCCTGGCGTTGCAAACGCCATGCTCTATCAACTGAGCTACAGCCCTGCCGGCCATTCCCTCCCCAACCCTGGACGACGATGGGCCAATTGTGCGCCGCCCATGAGTCTCCCGGTCGCGGCCGGCTGCGACAGAGCCTGGATTCGAACCAGGATCTCTAGTGGCACAGTTAGCACTGCGATGCGGCGCCTTAGACCACTGCGCCACTCAGACGACATTGAATGTTTCTGAGATGCCTAGTTACAGTTTTGACTTAAATCAGCTTGAAAATCTAATGCAAGACTTGAAAATGACTGACTGTGTAGCAATAATCAACAACCAACTTGACTGAGCTTAAAGATTTTTTTTAAGAATGTGCAAATATTGTACAATCCAGGTGTCCAAAGCACTTAGACTTACCCAGAAAGACTCGCAGCTGTAATCCAAAGGTGATTCTAATGTACTCAGGGGTGTGAATACTTATGTAAGTTAGATTTCTGTATTTCATTTTCAATACATGGGATTTTTTTACATTTGTATTACATGTTTTCACTTTGTATTTAATGGGGTATTGTGTGTAGATGAGTGATTTTTATTTTATTTAATCCGTTTTGAATACAGGCTATAACACAAAATATGGAATAAGTCAAGGGGTATGAATACTTTCTGAAGGCACTCTCTGTGTGTGTGTATGTATGTATGTATAGATAGATAGATAGATAGATAGATAGATAGATAGATAGATAGATAGATAGATCTCTATCTATCTATCTATCTATCTATCTATCTGTCCTTTTTGTGCTCCTCTGTCTCTGTATTTGGCACTGATGCTAGTTCCCAGGTAAAGACCTAGTATTATAGTGCTTTAGACTGATTAAGCCCTAACACTATTGTTGGTCTATTGAGGCCACATTGTTTCAGGAATAAACTATGATTAAGCTTTATTACTCCTATTTCTGTTGTGGCAATCTTTCTGCTTTGTTTCCATGCACAGCGACCATTGACCTGAACTCAGCCAATGATGGGTGGTACGGGAGTGTGAAGGACTCTATCCGGGCACAGCAGGAGCGGGCCGTGTGGGTCTGTGAGGGCAAGGTAAGCTCTATGTTTGTATGTAATAAAAAAATATATATTATTTTTAATATATAAATAAATAATTATATAATAATGTGTGTACATATACTGTATACATAGTGTCTTTGTTTTGGTCGTTTTCACACCAACCTGCATCTCTGTCTCTCTCTCTCTCTCTCTGTCTGTCTGTGTGTCTCTTTGTGTCTCTCTCTCTCTGTCTGTCTGTGTCTCTCTCTCTGTCTGTCTGTGTCTCTCTCTCTCTCTCTCTCTCTCTCTCTCTCTCTGTGTCTCTTTCTCTCTCTCTCTCTGTCTGTGTGTCTCTTTCTGTCTCTCTCTGTCTGTCTGTGTCTTTCTGTCTCTCTGTCTGTGTCTCTTTGTGTCTCTCTCTCTCTCTGTCTGTCTGTGTCTGTCTGTCTGTCTGTCTGTCTGTCTGTCTGTCTGTCTCTCTCTCTCTCTGTGTCTCTTTCTCTCTCTCTCTCTGTCTGTGTGTCTCTTTCTGTCTCTCTCTGTCTGTCTGTGTCTTTCTGTCTCTCTCTCTGTCTGTGTGTCTCTTTGTGTCTCTGTCTGTCTGTGTGTCTCTTTCTCTCTCTCTGTCTCTTTGTGTCTCTGTCTGTCTGTGTGTCTCTTTCTCTCTCTCTCCGTCTCTCTGTCTGTGTGTCTCTTTCTGTCTCTCTGTCTGTCTGTGTGTGTCTCTTTCTGTCTCTCTGTCTGTGTGTCTCTTTCTGTCTCTCTGTCTGTGTGTCTCTTTCTGTCTCTCTCTGTCTCTGTCTCTTTCTCTGTCTGTGTGTGTGTCTCTTTCTGTATCTGTCTCTGTCTGTCTGTCTCTCTCTCTCTCTGTCTGTCTGTCTGTCTGTGTCTCTTTCTGTCTCTCTGTCTCTCTTTCTGTCTCTCTGTCTGTCTGTGTCTCTTTCTGTCTCTCTCTGTCTGTCTGTGTGTCTTTTTCTGTCTCTCTGTCTGTGTGTGTGTGTCTCTTTCTGTCTCTCTCTCTCTGTCTGTCTGTGTCTCTCTCTCTCTCTCTCTCTCTCTCTCTCTCTCTCTCTGTCTCTGTCTCTTTCTGTCTCTGTCTGTGTCTCTTTCTGTCTCTCTCTCTGTCTGTCTGTGTGTCTCTTTCTGTCTCTCTGTCTCTGTCTGTGTCTCTTTCTGTCTGTCTGTGTGTCTCTTTCTGTCTCTCTGTCTGTCTCTTTCTGTCTGTGTCTCTTTCTGTCTCTCTCTCTCTGTCTGTCTGTCTGTGTCTCTTTCTGTCTCTCTCTGTCTATGTGTCTCTTTCTCTCTCTCTGTCTGTGTGTATCTTTCTGTCTCTCTCTCTCTGTCTGTCTGTGTCTTTCTGTCTCTCTCTCTGTCTGTCTGTCTCTCTCTCTCTCTCTCTGTCTTTTTCTGTCTCTCTCTCTGTCTGTCTGTGTCTCTTTCTGTCTCTCTCTCTGTCTATGTGTCTCTTTCTCTCTCTCTCTGTCTGTGTGTCTCTTTCTGTGTCTGTCTGTGTCTCTGTCTGTCTGTGTCTCTTTCTGTCTCTGTCTCTGTCTGTGTCTCTCTCTCTCTCTCTCTCTCTCTCTCTCTCTCTGTCTCTGTCTCTGTCTCTTTCTGTCTCTGTCTGTGTGTCTCTTTCTGTCTCTCTGTCTCTGTCTGTGTCTCTTTCTGTCTGTCTGTGTGTCTCTTTCTGTCTCTCTGTCTGTCTCTTTCTGTCTGTCTCTTTCTGTCTCTCTCTCTGTCTGTCTGTGTCTCTTTGTGTCTCTCTCTCTCTCTGTCTGTCTGTGTCTCTCTCTCTGTCTGTCTGTCTCTCTCTCTCTCTCTGTGTCTCTTTCTCTCTCTCTCTCTCTCTCTCTCTGTCTGTGTGTCTCTTTCTGTCTCTTTCTGTCTGTCTGTGTCTCTTTCTGTCTCTCTGTCTCTCTTTCTGTCTCTCTGTCTGTCTGTGTCTCTTTCTGTCTCTCTCTCTGTCTGTCTGTGTCTTTTTCTGTCTCTCTGTCTGTGTGTGTGTGTCTCTTTCTGTCTCTCTCTCTCTGTCTGTCTGTGTCTCTCTCTCTCTCTCTCTCTCTGTCTCTGTCTCTTTCTGTCTCTGTCTGTGTCTCTTTCTGTCTCTCTGTGTGTCTCTTTCTGTCTCTCTGTCTCTGTCTGTGTCTCTTTCTGTCTGTCTGTGTGTCTCTTTCTGTCTCTCTGTCTGTCTCTTTCTGTCTGTGTCTCTTTCTGTCTCTCTCTCTGTCTGTCTGTCTGTGTCTCTTTCTGTCTCTCTCTGTCTATGTGTCTCTTTCTCTCTCTCTGTCTGTGTGTATCTTTCTGTCTCTCTCTCTCTGTCTGTCTATGTGTCTTTCTGTCTCTCTCTCTGTCTGTCTGTCTCTCTCTCTCTCTCTCTCTGTCTTTTTCTGTCTCTCTCTCTGTCTGTCTGTGTCTCTTTCTGTCTCTCTCTCTGTCTATGTGTCTTTCTCTCTCTCTGTCTGTGTGTCTCTTTCTGTATCTGTCTGTCTGTCTGTGTCTCTGTCTGTCTGTGTCTCTTTCTGTCTCTGTCTGTGTCTCTTTCTGTCTCTCTCTCTGTCTGTCTGTGTGTCTTTTTCTGTCTCTCTGTCTGTGTGTGTGTGTCTCTTTCTGTCTCTCTCTCTCTGTCTGTCTGTGTGTCTCTCTCTCTCTCTCTCTCTCTCTCTCTGTCTCTGTCTCTTTCTGTCTCTGTCTGTGTCTCTTTCTGTCTCTCTCTCTGTCTATCTGTGTGTCTCTTTCTGTCTCTCTGTCTGTGTCTCTTTCTGTCTGTCTGTGTGTCTCTTTCTCTCTCTCTGTCTGTCTGTCTGTGTCTCTTTCTGTCCCTCTCTGTCTGTGTGTATCTTTCTGTCTCTCTCTCTCTGTCTGTCTGTCTATGTGTCTTTCTGTCTCTCTCTCTCTGTCTGTCTATGTGTCTTTCTGTCTCTCTCTCTGTCTGTCTGTCTCTCTCTCTCTCTCTGTCTTTTTCTGTCTCTCTCTCTGTCTGTCTGTGTCTCTTTCTGTCTCTCTCTCTGTCTATGTGTCTCTTTCTCTCTCTCTGTCTGTGTGTCTCTTTCTGTATCTGTCTGTCTGTCTGTGTCTCTGTCTGTCTGTGTCTCTTTCTGTCTCTGTCTGTGTCTCTTTCTGTCTCTCTCTCTGTCTGTCTGTGTGTCTTTTTCTGTCTCTCTCTCTGTCTGTGTGTGTGTCTCTTTCTGTCTCTCTCCCTGTCTGTCTGTGTGTCTCTTTCTGTCTCTCTCTCTGTCTGTCTGTGTCTCTTTGTGT